AAAATTTCAATGACTAATGAATTTTTACAAGAATGGTTTTTATTAAAATTTTAATTAGAATAATTTATAAAGTTTTAAATTTTTTAGAAATTCTGTATTAATTTATAGTGGCTAGGTGATATTATTAAGTAAAAACTATATTTACTCATCTTAAATGGAAAAACCTTCCTACAATTCAGCAACTCCCCTCCCACCCAATATTTTAAAAAGAATTTATTTTTTTGTGTGTATACAGACATCCATATATGCTATTATCAGAAAATAAGAGCAGTAACTATAGTGAATTTTAAGCCAAAGTACTTAAAATTCAATAAAACACTAGAATATTTTCCTAAATTTTTAAGATTACTGGGGAGTTAAAAAAATTATATAAAATAGGTGCTCACATTATATTCGTCAAGTAATTTTTACAGCTATATTCCCGTAGAAAAAAAATTTCCAAACATAAGTCTGCTGACATAGTAGTCAACACTTCATAAAAAAACACCCACCTCCATGTTAAAAAATGCTTTTCTGCAATATTTTAAACTAATATTTGTTTCAAATAAGATTAATTAAATTTTAAATCAGCTAATCTTCTGTAAATAAAGTTTCAGAGACTATATTTTACTTTTTTAATAAAGAGATTTTTTCTTAGAGATTTGTAAATATGGCTAAAATCAGCCATTTTGCAATTTAAAAAAAAAAAAAAAAAAAAAAAAACCTTCATTCCAATCAATTTAAATGTTTTGAAATACAGTAAAGTATTTTACTTATTGGAAATATTAAATTTAATCTATTAGCTTGAACTTAAAAATAAAAAAAAAGCTTTGGGAGAGATATTTCATTTAAAAAAATTTTATTTAAACCTTAGGTATTGCTTTACTTTGGAGGTACCTAAATTGTATTTTTATTTTACAATTCAGAGCAGAAATTCTGTAACTGGAAGCCCTGTTTGACAAACAAATATGATGATTTTAATTCTATAAACATTAAATGCTACAAAGATGAATTTCTTTAAATTTCATAAAATTAAATAAGTGGAGGGGTAACAGATGTAAAAAAGAAAAAAAAAAAAAGAAAAGTTTCTAAAAATAATTTAATTCATTTGTGAATATGTTCTCAAAGTTTCATTAAAATCTAAATTATCTGATTTTTGCAAGAATTTCCAAATCAAAAGGTTTTTCACCCCAAATAGATGCTCAAATTTCCCATAGTACGAGGGTGGGCTGAAAAGTTCATAGGCTGACTATGAAGGAGTGATGCTAGAGTTGTGAAATCTTGAATGCATTTATTTCAACTCTTCTTAATAAGTACATTGTTTTTTTTCCTGTTCAAAGACTTCAAAACTAGTAGCAACATATCTTGAAAAATGGACAGAATTTGGCATTGTGGTGCTACCAGCAGAAACAGTATTTAGCTCCAAGGACATCCATGCTGACATGCTACATTAGGGGATGATGCTTCAGCTATATCAACAGTGTAAAAGTGGGCAGCTGAATTTAGAAGGGGAAAGGAAAGTTTTGAAGATGATCTAAGGTCTAGACATCCTGCAACTGCCAGCACTGAGGAAAGCATGTTCACCACATGGTGATGGATGACAGGCAATTGATTATAAATCAAATAGCCAATGCTATTAGCATATCCTGTGAGAGAGTTGATAATATTCTGTACAACAAACTTGGCATGACAAAGGTTTCTGCTCAGTGGGTGCCACATCTAACCAGAAACGCGTTAACATGACTGGAAAATCTGATATTGTCCAAGGCAGATCCTGCTGGTTTCCTTGATTATTTCCTAACCTAGAATGAGTGTTAGGTTCATCACTTTCAGTCAGACAAAGAGACAATCCATGCAGTGGAAACACCCCTTCTCACCTGCTCCAAAAAGGCCAAGGAAGGTGATGGTTTCAGATTTTTTTGGATGCAAAAGGTATTATGTTTATTATTTTCAAAAGGCTCACACCATCAATGAGATACTATGCCAACTTGCTGAGCAAGACCAAACACCCAGGAAAATTAACAAAAAGGGTCTCGTTTCAACAGGACAATGCTTCAGCATACAAGTCCTTGGTTTCAATGGCTGTTGTGAATGACTGTTTTTGAACTGGTTGACTATCCCTCCCTATTCTCCTGATTTGGCCTCATCTCTCATAAATAACGAGTAACATATGCAAAAATTACTCCTCTAAGAATACTAGGAGAAACAAATTCAATTTCGAAAATCATTTTTATTTTTTTTTAACTTGATATTTTTTTAATCGCTGATATCAGTTAAAAAAGAAAAAGGCAAAACTTAGACTGCCTACACACTCAACACAAAAATTTAAAAAAATAAATCAAACTTTTTTTTTTACATTAGGGTTTATATTTGATTTGTGATGAAAACAAAGACAGACAAAAAAAAAAAAAATTCTTGTTGTGACAAATTACATTGAAAACAAACGAATTTCTGCATTCAAATGCAGTCACACATTTTTACACTGATAAGCAAAAGAATTCTATACGTCAGTCAATATGTTTAACATAATGTATCAACTGTAGCAATAGTAGTAGTAATTCCCACCCACACAAATTTCTAGTTTCAATGAGAAAATCTTGTATCTTCATCAGGAACTATATTGTTAGGACAAGGAAAATTTTAATGAAGAATTACTTAAAGAAAGAAATAACAAAATAAAGATGATCACATATGTAAGAATAACTGAGTAAAAACGACTTATTTATTCCATCATCGAAAAAAATATGAAATTTAAAACTAAACATCATCATGAGTGATCACAAGTGCATTATGAAGGTTGGTTTAAAAAAAAATTAATTTGTGAACAAAAATCCCGAATTGAAAAAAAAAAAAAAAAAACATGAATTCGAATTCTTAAAAAAAGAAAAAAAAATTGGATGGAAACCGTTTTTCTGAATTTAATTCAAACCTTGAAGATTACGTTTTTTTCATTAAAGAGAAAGAAAACAACTTTTTTTTTTTTTTGACGGAACTAAAAAGTCAGTACTTCAACTAAGATGTCCCAAAAATTATTTGATGCAGGTTGAAAGAGTACACTACACACAAGAAGAAGAGAATAATTATTTAAAAAGAGAAAAGTAAACTTATGAGAAGGAGTCAAAATGACAAAAATAAATGAAAAGATTCTTCTTTTTTTTTTTAAAAAACAAAAAAAAAACAAAAAAAAAACAACATTTTTTTATCCGTTATGACATGTCTAAGAAAGATATAAAGTTTCCTTAAACGAAAATACATTCTTTGAAAGAAAAATGACACTTGTAGCTCCTGATATTGGTCAGGTGTGTCATTCATTACCTTGAGATTCGAGTTGCAAAATACTTTTTTTTTTGTTCTTGAGACATTACTAATTAATATTTAATTTAACAGACTTCGTTGTAATAATTTCATGTACTCGAGAAGTTACTGTTAAACATTTTTATTAAAAAGAACATTTTTCAAATCTTGGAAGATAAAGCGGCGAATTTTTTTTTTTTTTTTGTACAAAGATATTTTTAATAAAATTTAATTAACAATTATCAATTCTATAGGCAAGTTATTAATTTAAAGAGGATTTATTCAGTTTTTATTTTAATAATAATAAAAATAAAACCCAGAATATAAATGGCGTCCGTAAAAACTAAAAAAAGCTAGTTTTTAGTTCAAACAAATTTAATTTAATTCTGAAACTGAGTAAATGATGACAAAAAGCAATATTTCACTCAGTAGGCATTTTGATCATTGACAGCAATCAGTTCCTTGTTACGTTTTTTGGGTTTTTTTTTTAATTTGGCTTTCTTTTTACACATCTTTTATTCGAATTTTCTCGGGTTATTTTCTTATCAGAACAATCAGAGTGAGTTTTCTGAGCCGCCGTACCTTTGTAATCATCATTTTTAGACTCATCCAACTATTTTTCCGAATCCTCTGCACTGTCCTAGTGATACCTAAACACTCTGAAATATTCGTATTGCAGCTTCCGGCGCGAATGCCAAGCAGTAAAGAATGCCATTTCCAAGTTTCTGGTGGAATGAATTGCGTCATGGTGATCTTTTTCTCACAGACGGTGCCCAACTGACCCTATACTGTGCAGTCGATAAAAAAAAACAAACAACGCGCATGCGCGAAATTAAAAATATAAAATGGTGACAATTTACCCATCGCATCCTGTAATTAATAGATATCCAGGTTTAACACGAGTAAGATTTGATAAATAAAAAGGGTTTACTCATTACTGGAAGCATTCGAATAAAAACTACATGTTTAAGTCGGGTGTAATATAGACGTCAAAAAATTATAGTTAATAAAATATCTGAATTGAGTAGCAATTGTTTAAAGGACGATAGCTAATTAAAATGAAAAGCTACACTACAGACAGCTGTTACATAAAAAATAGAAATCACATGAAAACAGGTCATCGAGTCGAAATCTGATTATTTTTGTATTGTAAATAGGAGTTGAGAAGAAGACACGTTTTTCGGTTTTCAACTGTTGGTAACAGGTAACTCCTTTTTTATAAACTATAAAGGAGTTTAAAAACAGAAAGAATTCACTCATCAGGACCAGACCTGGACAATAACCATTGAACAAGAGTAAGACTAAATGGTCAGCGCATGCAATTAAAATCTGGAATGCTGATTGAATCAATCAAATTCTTTGTGAATTTTAATTGTGTTTCAAAGAAGTCACGAAAATTGCCAAAATGCCGGAAGGCAATGAAAACATGTGCGGGGGTAGCGAGCTAAGATGCAAAGATAAGGAACAGTAAAAATTGCTTAACTAATTGCCAATGAACATCATAAAAGAAGGAGAGGAAATATCCCCTAAAATTGAAAATAAAAGTAATGAAGGACGAATTATTTAATCTCAAAATTAGACCATCGAGAAAACTCAAATGTGTTTTTTAAAAAAAGCCATATAAAAAAACGTAACAAGGAATGATATTGACACTGTCAAGTGTCAATGATTAAATAAAATGCCTTAAATCTGAAGTCAATAAAAGAATTGAAGAATAAATAGCTTACCTTGTCCGATCCCACCAGTTCTGTGATGTGTTAATGTCACTTTTACAACAACTACTACATTTAAAACAGGTCTCTATTTCTCTAGCAGCAGCAGAAGCTTTCTTCCATACAATAAAGATGGCTGCTGGGATACAATTGTGAATTGATTATTAAAAAGCGAAGTGAATGATACATTAAATGAAAGTATGGAAGACCAAAAGTGACATATATATAATTTTATTGTGAACTCGTGCTATACTTAGTATGGAACAAAACCAACTGAGAGTAAAGAAGATTGTATTGCGTAAATCTTATAAGTTGAGAAGTTATAGTAAATCATCATTCTTAACCAGTGCTTTCACCTGGTCTCGAATACCAACATGTGGCACCGGTAGCTAGGAAAGTAGAAACATAACTCAATCACGAGGCAAGCCAGCTTGGCCGTTTTTTTCTTTTCTTTTTTTTTTTTTAATTCCAGAAAGTTTGAATTATAATAAAATTAATACAAATATAATTTCAATTTTAAATTCAATTGTCCTTGTTAAGTAAATGAGACAATTGCTGAATTTCAAATTTAAATATTTTCATATAAACTTTTTTTATTAGGTAGGTATCTACTATCATCACTGTTAATCACTAGTTTTCATTTCATGAAAATTATAAATAGATCCAATTTTCTTTTTCTAATCTCACTTCAAGTTCCTTTTTGCAATATTGAAACAGATAAGGCTGTGATAGGGATTTCACATGCAAAAAAAATTATCAATTAACACCTCTTCAGGCACACAATAAAAAAGACTTATTCAGTGTGAAATTGAAACTGAAAGAATTTGTTTATTTACAATAACATCTTGTGAAAAAGAAGATAGGTGGAGAAGCTTGCTTAAAAATATTCTTTTGAACACTAAATGAAATTAAGCTAGATAGAAAAAATGTTCATAAGAAAGAAGGGACTTGGAGTAACAGCCTGTCTTAGAAAAGAATAACTGAATTCAGAGCCATGGAGAAGGCAATGGGAAACTACTTGAATATCTTTCCCAAGAAATTATGGATTTAAATAGAAAACAGACAACCTTAAGGTTGTCTGTTTTCTATCTAAATTGAATTAATAATGGCTTTGATTTGACATTGAGCTCTCTGGATTATATCCTCTTTGGGATTATTCATACAGATTACCAAACTTTTCATTACTGATATATATATATATGTGTGTGTGTGTGTTAGGTAATTGAATAACAAAGTGGAAAAATTCTGTGTAATATGCTTCGGTTTCTAAAAGGTCTTTATCTAACTGAAGTAATGTTCTTATTGATGGAAATATATATGTGATGGGGGTAAATATAAGTGTAAACATTGGTTATAATTATACATTGAGGGGAATGCTAAATTTAACATTTTTAAGTTTTAAAATTTTTAATTTAAAAATTTTGACATCTGACGTGACCAGACATACAGCTGGGCCAATCTCATCCGGTCTCCTTATGCTTTTGTTTTTATCACTATTGTTCTTAAATATTTCACATTGTGAGAAGAGAAGATCTTCTAAAATATATATATATATATATATATATATATATATGAGATAACAATATGTAAATTTTTATATATCAAGAACAATTTTGGGGGAAAGATATATGACAAAGTGGAAAAAGTTTTCATCTGTCCTGCCACAAGTTTGGTTGTTTTCGTTTAGCAGCATATCAACCTCTACAGGTTATTTAATGCTGAAATATAAATATTTTGTATGCATTTTTTTTTAAGATAATAATGGTTTTAGTGATATAAGTCTTACTAATTAACCCATAGCTAGGGGAGAAAAGGTGGATTCATACTTTTCCCAAGGATATTTGTGCATAAGTGAATATAATGAACCTAACTGGAATTGGAAGCCTGCTCTCCAATTAACAATTGCAAGCCATTATTCACTGCACCACCCACACATCCAAGCTTACAGTACCTTCTTACTGTAAGCTTACAGTATCAAGCTGTCATCTATCTAGGTACTAACTAGATTCAACATTGTTTAACTTTAGTGATTGTACGGAAACCGGTGTTTCAACATTATAAGGTCCTTGGCCACAAGGAATACATCAAAGAAACCTCAAGGAATTTAAATAAAAGATTATATGAACACAAAATGGATATTTTACAAAACAACACGTTAAATGCATTAGTTGCTCACCATAATGAGACCAATCACAATTTTGATATAAAAAATGCTACTCTAATTAAGAGAGAAATTAATTCACTAAGATGAAAATGTTTAGAAAGTACTTTAATCGCTAGCTCATTCACAGTAAATTTGTGTCCAGGTTTTTACAATGTCCTACCATCCCTGGCAGATCTTCTATTATCACAATGTGGAATATTTCATAACAAAAGTTGATGGAAACAAAAACAAAAAAAATCTAAATGAAATCAACAGGATTATATATCCAAAACATAAAAAAGAATTCATCTTTAAATTTTAAATACCCAATGTTTCTCATTCATGTGCATGCGTAGTTGCATCAATATAAATATAAACTTCTCCAAAGAAGTCCTAAACAATGAAACGTATCATGCAAAAACTTTTTCCACTTTGTCATACATCTTTCCTCGAATATATATATATATATATATATATATATATATATATATGTCATTCGCAGACAGTACTGTTTCGCTGTATCACAGCTCTTCATTGCGACTAGACAACCGAATGCCCCAACCAATTTGGTGTCAGTCAGAGCTTCTACCACTGAGCTATCTTCACTTGACAGAATGAGTCAGCTAAATCTAGCATATTGTTTTTACAAACAAATGCCAAGCAGCCATAGTGCTCCACTCATTTTACTGAAGAGCTTCATATTTACACAGGTAGCCGTTGTTTTTAGAATTAGCATGTCATTCAACAGTGCTCAATTGAAAATATATTTTCAAGAACTAACCCGTGCTTTCATCTTCAGACATCTCCCAACAGTACTGCATGCTGGAATCATCTCTTCAAACTGATAAAATCATGAAGTCACCTCTTTGACCATATTGAGAATTGAATTTAGCTCTCCTGGTCGGAATGTTAATGCTCTGCTTGGCCACCTGCTCATAACAATGTGCATATATATATATATATATATATATATATATATATATATATAATGTCGGCTTATAAGAATATTTGTATCATAAAGGTTGGCATTTCCAAATACACTCATTTGCTAGTATGGCTAACACCATGTTGCAGACACCTGCTTGGAATGATATTCTTTCTTCAACATAATCTGTGGTTTATACTGCTACAATGCTGAGCAGACCTTAGTTACAGTTTTTATCAAAGAGTGCACAATCTAGCATGATCAATGGTTGAACAAGGCCAGTATGCTTAAAGCGTCAATCACAATGACTTGTGACATCATGCAAACACAACGACTGATGGTTTTCAAACAGTTTCATCTACCCAGTTCCACCCACAAGGCTTGAGTTACCCTATGATATTATCTCCAGGCATTTCCCAACAGTACTGCATGCTGGAATCATGTCTTCAGACTGATAAAATCATGAAGTCACCTCTTTGACAAACTGATCATGGTGAGAATTGAACTTAGCTCTCCTGGTCGGAATGCTAATGCTCTGTTTGGCCACATGCTCATAAAAATGTGCATATACAGTAAAAAAGATGATGTACTTCAATATTTGAATGGAAGTAAACACTTCTGAGTAAAATTATAGAAGAGATATAGTAAAATGTCTAAAATAAATATTCTATTGCTTTAGATAAGATCGTCTAGGTTTTCATTCCCAAAATAGATAAAACAATTGGAATCAATGCTACAAAAGTATATAAAGTGATACTAACAAATTGCATAATAATAATGACCAGTTGCTTGTTTCTGTGTGACCCTATCTGCTTGGTTGTCTAGCTAGTTCCTTTTGCAGGTTGAGACATATTTGTTCCTTCAACACCTACAGAGCCAACTTATGGTCTATACTGCAACTAAGCTAAGCGAATGTTATAGTTTATGGGAGAAAGTACATGACCTGACATGATCAGTAACTGTCAATGACAGTGCACTTGAACTCTTGATTATGATGACTTGTGATTTTCTGCTTGCAGGACATTGACAGCTTCCAAACAGGTTCATGTATTCATTTTCACCCACAAGGGTTGGGTTAACCCATGGTATAGTCTTCAAGTATTTCCCAACAGTACTGTATACTAGGATCATCTCTCCAGGCTGATAAAATCATGGTCACTTCTTTGACAAATTGACTATGGTGAGAATTGAAGCAAGGTTTCATATATATGATGGACTCTCCTGTTATTTCATTAGAATCGAAATTTCATTAGAATTGAAATTTCGATTCCAACTCATCACACCAAACATTACACAAATAAATGGATAAAGATTTTAGCGAACTTAAAAAATAATCTGAACATAAATTATGTTTAAATATGCAGATTCAAAATTGGAGAAGGGTATGGAAACTCCTGAAAACTCTGATATCTGATATAACAATAACATGTATTAATGCATGTAATCACTTTATTATTGTATGATTTAATGTTTATATTTGTATACATGTATATATATGGGTATGTGTGTGTATGTATATATATATATATATATATATATATATATATATATATATATATATATATATGATTTTAAAATATGATTTAAAATATGTTTTTTTCGCTACACAGTTCTAACCATATTTCAAAAATGGAAGCTAAAAGCTTTGAATTTAATTTTGTAATTAAATTAAAGACATTAGTTCCATTTCATCCTCAAGTAACGTATTTATTACTGGGTTTTAAAGGCACAGCAAAAAATCATAATTCACGTTTCCAAGGATACATTGGTTTGTACAGAGACGATGGTCTTATGGTTATTAGAAACTCAACTAACTTCAAAATAGATAAAATTAGAAAGGTACTATATAAAGAATTTAAAAGCATAGGCTTAAAAATTACGGTTAGCACTAAATTAAAAAAAGTGAACTTCCTGGATATAACATTAGATTTAAATAAAAATACATACACACCTTATAAAAAAAACCAATACCAATCCTTTATATATACACCCTAAATCAAA